CTCTATCTCCTGACCCCTCCCCCGTCATCCCCTTGCTCTTACTACCCCACACCACCTGCCCGCATGCTCCCTCGTTACCAACGAATCGGGGGCAACAGGCCGGTGCACGACCTTCGTCTGGGCCTCCGCAGCCGCCGCGATTGCGGCCGTCGCCGCCATCGTCTATGGCTTTCTCGAGCGCACCGGGCGCCTCAACAGCAGCAGCTACCGGGTGGGCGGGGCTCCTCCCCCCTACTTTGCGGCGCGCGCAGGCACGAGGGAGGAGGCGTCGCCTTGGAGGATGACGGGGGCCGTTGGCGCCGGCGGCGTGATCGGGGCAGGCCGTGACCGTGGGCGGAGGACTAGCGGCAGCTCGCAGTACGAGAGCATCTCGGACGTGTCTCCGTCAAGGGCGTGAAGACTGCCGTAGTACCACAGCCGGAGTAAATAGGAATTTTGTTCGTTGTTGGGGTCCGAGTGTGGTTGGTTGTGTCGGTTTTGTTGAGTCGTCACCCGAACGGCTTTTGTTGGTTTCCGGTGGTTGTCGTCGAGGAGTTTTGTTTTCTGCCAATCGATAGCATACTGTTTTAACGTGATCAGCCACGTACTGCGAACATGCATCTTGTCGTCGACAACTTTGGCCGCAAGGTCCTACGGTAGTCCTAAGGGCCTGGCTTCTTCGGAAGAAGTGGACTTTAGGGAGAGAGAGTGCGACATGAGGTTTGGCACAGCGGACGTTCGGTGCGGAACGCCCATGTACTGTAGGAGGCGAGCAAATGCTTTCTCTTGGCACTCAAAAACGATCGTGCACCAGGCAGCTGTTGTACAGTAGAATATACAATGCGAAAATGTTGTTGGGAGGCATCCCATGCGGAGCGGGAGCATCATATAATATTTTTCTCCTTTGCCGGATATATCAATGTCGCCAGCGATGTCCGACCATTTGGCTGGGGACGTTTAGTTGTGTTTTTTTTTTTACTGCCGTCGTGTGTGCGAGGTGGTGGCGCATCTGGGGTGGTCCTTATTTTTTTTGTTTTCTATTTAGATTGAAGTGTGTATGTACCCTTTCAGGTAAAGAGAAGTCTTTCTAGTAGTTAGGCCGTGCTTCAAAAAGTAGACAAGGAAGGCGTCCGCGTCAGCTAGACCGGTGTGGGAACTAGAAGGAGCTCATCAGAGACCGGGAACCGTCCGTATGTGCGAAAACCCGTCGGATTGTTGACGTTTGTTTTTTGCTTCGTTCGCATGAGCTGCGCGCGACAGGCGATCTGCTCTTTCAAGAGTAATGATACAGGACATGGAGGCCATCGGACATTCTATCTGTAGAGCCGTAGGAAACTCTTCGTAATCGTTGTCGCCTGGTAGGAGAAGCAAAACTCTCGCGGCTTCAGCAAACATGGTCGTATTAGGCGCTCGTTGTGCTGTGTTGTGGTGGTATGCGTGTTTATTCGAGTTGCGCTCGGCTGTTGTTATGGTCAACGCCAAGAAGAGTATTTGAGCATGCTACATAGTCTACATACGTGAAAAAAGATACAAGGTGGGCGTGTTGGCGCGCGACTGAAGACTTGAGTGAGGGAGGCAATAATAATACAATTAGCAGCGGAGGTTGTTGTGTACTCCTTCTCCCTTCCGTGTTCGGAACACGTGCTGCATGTTGCATGGCGGTAACGGCGGAGAGGTTGGGACACGCAGAACCGTCGCGAACGAGACAGTTCTGTTAGTCGACGATTTGTCAGGTTTTTCGACGTGAAGCGCTGGCCCACAACACAGACACATTGATCAGAGAAAATGAGACAATCTTTCGTGTCGCCACTCACTGCTGCTGTTCGAGGTATCTCCCGAGCAAGGGCCCTTTCAGGGCAGGTACGGATAGATAGGGTTCCGGCCACTAGGGAAATCACACCAGAGCTCACGGCAGTTAATTCTGTGTTCACTGGAATCATTGCGTGACCGTAAGTGAGTGATCTGCGATAGATTAGTTTCCCTGTCGGGTAGGGAGGCACACTCTGCGATCTCTTTATATACGCTGCCCCTAGCGAGCGGTACAGCGTACTGGTTCGTACCCGGATGGCAACGTAGAGGATGACAAGCCCTTATGGCCGCACCAATATAGTCAGTCGTCCATGATCTTACCCCACCTTGCTGCTGTGGCCCCCATCCACTTCGTTCATTACTTCAATATGAACTTGACTTGCTGCATTTACATTCTGAAGCGGGTATCTCCCGTGGGCGTTGATGATGATCACCTCGACGGCAGTGTAGCCAGTCTTATACCGCAGCCAGCCATCTCCACTCATGTCATGTACGTGCATCAGACGGAGGGATTTTTTTCGTGTACCGCGTGTCGCAGGCTGTCCGAATTGTGGCCCGTCACTCTACACAGGCGGCCAGTGGGCACGGTTGTACGGGGGCGTTGTGTAACCTCCGGCCAACGAGGGGTTATTACATGGAATAACGTGGGGGGGTTACAGGCCGAGCGGGCACAACGTGCCGGGCTATGAAATTGGTGATGCGCGGATTGGTGTGAAGGAGGAGAAAAGAAAAAAAATGTGTGAGCATTCCCCTCCCTTCCATTCATTGTATTCCACTTTACCGTTGGGTTATCAAGCGATACATCGGCAAACAATTTTCCGCTCTTTCGAGATGACTATTTAGCGCAGGAACATCACACAACGCGGAGGGGATCGAACGAGCAAACTGCTGTGTCTGTATAGTGTAACGGTGTGCTGCTACGCAATATGTTGAAGCATATCACGTATTACTTGTAAATTCCATGATGAATCTATAATAATATAGTGATGGGGGGGGTGCACTCATAGTCGTGCATGCCGAAGTCCTCAGACTATTGACCTCGCATCCCTACAAAGCCGGGACGGAGCACGCCGGGTTCTCACCGGACCAGGCTATCACATCACCAAGCGCGAAGCGCCGTGAGATATTCGGCGAGTCGCATTAAGGGTGCGCTGCATCCTGCTAAGGGTGGTCGGCATCTTGTGCTTACTTCCTTGCATACGGATGACAGCTGCGTATGACTTTATTATTTTTTCTGGTGCTTTCACTCCCAGAGACAGTGATAAGCACTGTGTAACTGCCTCGAGGGTGCTTGACCATATTAACACAAGGTGGTGCGATCATCGTCTTTGCGCGGAGTGAGGGTTATCCACCCCTCACAACATGATCTACTCGACCATTATTAAGATTACCGCCAAAAAAAGAGGTACAAAAAAACGGTAACCTGGTTGCCGAGTTCACGAAATGAATTAGCTTGTTTTACAACGTCGTTGCCAAGCGACGAAAACCCAATCAATCCCGATGGCAAACACCGACGGGGGGGCTTGTTTTACAACGTCGTTGCCAAGCGACGAAAACCCAACCCGGATGGCAAACACCGGGGATAGTGATGGGGGCGGGAACAACTGTGGCAGCACCACCCAAGCGGCCGATAAGAGCACACTTACTCTGCCTTCCCTCCCACGCAAAAAGCAGAAACTCCGAGCAATGTCGTCGTCCATTGCCAATCGTTCAATGGCAAGATTTTGGTCAGCTAAGTTTTTATGTTCAACAGCAACAACATATATACAAAGTATGTATATAGAATTATTTATTGCTGAGCGCGCAATTCATTTCAGCAGAGATTATTTATGTAATAAAACTATATTCGACCACTATTATTGTCATATATTTTAAGGAGACGTACGTACGTACGTACGTGTTGTCGTATTGACCTTTTATACAGAGAGAGGCAGCGTATATATATATAGTATATCATCGCCTACTCCCTCTCTCTTTTCTCAGTCCTTGTTTTTCCCCCCGATCGTTGCCGTGCGTGTTTGTAGGCAGCAATATATATACATATATCAATTAGAGTAAGCCCATGTCTGTGTTGCTTCCGGCACCACATCATGATCAGAAGATAAAGATGGCGCTCGCACTTAAGAACTTGGCAGTGAAAAAATGCGGCTTCGAGTAAAATCAATATCAAAGAAATTGAACACATGAAACTAATAACAACACGTACGTGCGTGCTCAGGCCCGACGTGGTGTTAAGAACAAGAACGAACCCGCCTTTTTTGTGGTGTAAGAACAGAGGCTCCAAAGCGCGACAGCTGCAAGATAATTAACACTCACGAAGGGGTGAGGGGGTACTCGCGGGGTAACCGGTGGGCAGTTAGTTGCAGATCAGCGGCGAGGAGGAGGTTCCTTTGAAAATAGTGTCAGGAAAATCGTGCGTCGAGACCTCCAGTAGTCGGACACGGTTTGACCTTTGAATACGATTGCAGCAACTAGTCTGCGTAGCAGTAGAAAAAAATCCATCTCTCCTTGGCATGTATTCTCTTGTTCTAGAAATATTCCGGAAGCATGCTAGGTCAAGGTTGACCGGGACATCCATGTAGAACGTGTGTAGCTTCTGGAAGCCTTCTGGAAACTTCTGGTTCCTTCTGTAGCTTCTGGA